CCCCCCGCTGTTTCCCAAGGCAGTGGTCCTCAGTCTCACCAAAATGCTTACACTAGGGGCATGGGGGCCTTGGCTAGAAGAAACCCATCCCTCAAGGATCACTTTTTTTGAAGGCTCAGGTTAAATTATCTGTTTGGTGTGTTCATCTTAATAAAAATGTCCCCTACCTTCCCCAGTTTTTTAGTAGTTTCTGTTTATCCTTAGGGTCTGCCTAGACCCTCCTGCCATCCCCAGTTTGAGATACTTAGGTCTGTGGGATATAAACCACATTCCTCATCACACCTCCACTACCCCACATCACCCCCCCACCCCCATCACACTGGTCAAGAGTCAGCTGGGGAAACCGTCCCTGCCACTTCCAGGCTGTATCTTCCTTCCTTCACCTCATTCTTCCTGCTGGGGTGGTGTTGTTCAGCTCATGTCTTGATCTGACTTGTGTCTCAGGCTGTTTGTCCCCCGGATCTTGTCCATTATTTCAGAGTGCCCAGCCAGCCCTCACTGGACCCATTCCTTCATTGTCCTGCCTCTTCCCCGCAGAAGGCCCAAAGAGGTGGCATGACTTTCTCCAGGTCACATGGTGTAGGATTTGAACTCACTTCTGAACATAAGCCTGTTATGAACTCAATGCTTTTGCCTCACACCCCCCCCCATTCATATCTTGAACCCCTCATCTCCAATGTGATGGTAATTGGAGGTGGTTAGGTTTAGGTGAGGTGGTGAAGGTAGACATTCCAGTGATGGTATCAGAGCCCAATAAGAAGAGGAAGACACCAGAGCTCATTCATCCTGCTCAGTGTAAGGACACAGTAAGAAGGCAGCTGTCTAAAGCCATCTAGAGAGCCCTCACCAGGCACCTTGATCTTGGACACCCTGTTGCCAGAATTGTAAGCAATAATTGTCTGTTATTTAGGCCAGCCAGTTTATGGTGTTTTGTTATAAATGCCTGAATTGACAAAGACAGTGTTGGTCCTGTCCCTCCCAGCAGTTAGGCTTTCTTTCCTCTATTACTTGCTTCTCTTCTCTTCCTTCCCCAGGAGGGTATGTTATTCTAAAAGCTGTTCTGCAACTAGACCAAGCTCTGAATCTGATCTGGGTTATTTGCTCACCCCTGAGACCATGTGCAAAATATACCAAGTGCTGTGTATGTTTGCATGCACATGCTATCATAAATTATTAAAAGGCCTCCTGCCTCAGGGCAGTATCATCTTGGGGCTTCCCATCCCAGAACTTGCTGAGTGTCCTACTGCTGAGCTGAGAGATGGAGAGAAACATGGTGGGGAAGGTGGCAGCAGAGGCTAGGAGTTTGGCTTAAGTCACTGAGATGCCTTGCAAGGGTCTCTAGCTGAGGTGTTGTGGACAGCAGGGAGGGCTGGTCTATCTGAAGTCCCCAGGGGCAAACCAAGGATGGCCATGGTCATCCAGGGGCAGGTGACAGGACCCCCCCAAGGACTGATAGCAGCTTCAGCCAAAGTCAGGGTTTACAGGGTCTGCCTTTGACCTCCAGGCAGTTTGGAGTAGAGGGGAAGCCTAGAAGCCTGGCACCAAATCCCAGCCCTGTGACCCATTTCCTATTCTGGCCTCAGTTTTCCCATCTGCAGAATGGAAGCCTTGTGTGGTAGTCTCTGAGCACCCTAGCAGCTGCTTTGAACTTCTGCTTTGACTAAGAAAAATGAGCCAGTTTCCTTAAAGATATTTCACAGGTCAGTCCTGACCCAGCTTCCTTCCATATCTGTGGATCACAGCATTTACTAGGCACCAACTGTGCTCAGCACAGGACTCTCTTAACATGTAAGAAGAGTGAGAAAAATCTGACAGCTCAGGACTCATCAGGGTTTAAAAATGGCTTGGGGTTTTAACAATGTTTTTTGGTGATGTTGGACAAGACGGGTATCAGGCATTTAGAATATACCAGGCACATTATAAATATTAAGCTGGTTTGCTTGCCCACTTTCTGCTGGGAGGACTCTGACTGGTCTTCATACCCCCTCAGTGGCCTTCCCTGCTTCCCTGAGCAGAGTCTTCACCATACCTTGGGCGCTCCCAGCTTCTGTCCCTCCCTCTGGCCTAGCCCTGACCTCTGAGCTGGGGGTATCTGTGTTTGACTCTGTCTTCCCTAGCCTGGGACTCCTAGGGGGTCAGTCCTGAGGTCAGGGCTGAGGTCACTGTGGGCTCAGTATTGGAACACTGTGAGAAGTTTGTGGAATGGTTCAATGACACAACCTTCAACTCTTCCACGGTAGGTGGTGGCTATGAAAAATAAATAAGGCTGACATGCATTGGCTTCATTTTCTTCTGTCCGAATTCCATGCAGCCTTGCCCTGCAAGTCATTGTCCTTCTATGGATTTCAGTTTCCCTGCCTGTGAGATAGCCAGGAGGATCATGGGCTGCACACCTTAGTCCCTGCAAATGGGGCCTTAGGGCAGGACTGCAGCAGGAAGTGGGGTCAAAGGCCAGTTGTGGAGGATGTCACTGATCTGGGAGGGGGCAGGCAGGAAGTGGCTGGGGCTGGCCTGCTTTGTCCTGTTCCCACACTAGAAAGGCAGAACCAGGAATCTAGACTTTGCTGAGCATCGTTGAGGGTCAGCCTGGCTCCAAAAGGTGCTTTCTCTGGCCTCTTGCAGTGTAAGGCACTCTAAGTAATTTGAGCTCCTCGCTACTTCCTACCTCTGTTCCCAGGTAGGACTGGCCACCTGCCCTGTGGGCTCTGGTTGCTGCTTTGGACCTCTGGGATTTTGGGTTCCACACCCAGCCATCAGAAAGCATCGTCTGCCCTCCTTTCACAGATGAGAACACTGAGGGCTCAGGTATATGCAGGAAAATACCCTTCTCTGAGTCACAAAGCTAGAAGCTAAGTTCACCCCAGTAGGGTAGCTTTGTGGGCAAAAAAAAAAAAAAAAAAAAAAATTTTAAAGGATAATGAAAAGTCCAAGTGGAGACTGGAGAATCTGTCCTCACCTCTTTTGCCACATGCCTGGCTAAAGTATTTGCAGATCCTTCCCTTTTGAACTTGTGGCTGCCTGTGGGGAATAAGCTGTATCAGTCACTTATACCTTAGTGAGAATTAGAGCCATAAATTTGCTTCTCTCTGTATCTCTGGTTAAGCCCTTCATGTGAGGTCTAAATGATGGCTAGAAGCTGGGAGTCCAGGGCCCAGCACAGGATGGACCTCTGTGTTTGCCAGGGAAGGAGGAGTGTGTGTGTGGCAGGACATTGGGGGATGGGGAGGCCCAAAAGGGAAGTAGGGTGGGGCAGGAAATAAACCCACATTTATTGAGTGCTTACTCTGTGCCAGAGGCTGGGCCAAGGGCTCCGCCTGCACAGTCACCTCTAATCCTGCCATGGTGGCAGTGAGGGAGGCACTACTGTTACATTCTCATCTCACACATGTGGCCATCAAGGCACAGAGAGGTGAGGAGGGTGTTTGCTCTGGGCACCCAGTAACCTAGCTGCAATTCAGACATGGCCAGTGTGAGCTCAGAGCCACCGCCTTTACCTGCCAGGCTGGCCTGGCGCCTAGACTGGGCTGGGCTAGGTGCTCGCTGTCACCAACCTGGATGTCTCCCTCCTGGGTGTCTCCCTGGGTTTATCTGAGACCTGTATGCTTCTGAGGGTTTGGCAGTTGACTCTGGGGTGTGGTAAGCCTTGTGGGGACTCCTTTCCTTCCTCCCACTCACTGCTCTGGTCACCCAGACCTAGACGACTAACTTCTGTTCTGTCCCAGGCCTCTGCTTACTGCCCCTTCATTAGCTCCCTGATACACCCCTAGTCCCAGGATGGGACTCTTGTCCCCAAAGCCCTTGGTCTGGGTGGTCTCCCAGATCACTGGGGGATGGAAACTGACCTCCCTGTCCTCTGCCTGCCATGAGTAGACCACCTTCCCCTGACCTCAGGCGTATAACAGTGATGACAGGGCCGTACCCAGATTTACAAGAACATTTTGAGATTCTCAGGTTCACTCTTATCTCACCTTCCACACTGGCCCCCAGGCCCTATCTATTTACCCCCATAGCAGGTCACAGCCCTGGGCCCCCACCACACACCCATGCGTGGGGCCACCCTCCATAGGCAGCCTCAGTATGGACCTACAGGCTTCAGTCACGGTTGGGTGTTCCAAGATACACAGGCAAAGTGTCACTCATACTCACAGATAGCTTTGCCACCCTCCTCTACGTGCACATATGCCAGCAGAAACACACACTCATTCAAACACGGGCACATCCACACATACACCAACACACACCAACAGTCACACACATGTGCACACACCCCAACAGAAGCACAGGCACAGACAGACACACACACACACATACCCAAACAGAAACACAGCACAGACACACACACACATATGCACTGTCAAACAGAGACATACTCACTGACACACACCAACAAAAATACATATTCATCCAAACACGCATACATGCTAACAGAAACACATCACCACACATACATACATACACAAGCCCCATCAGAAACACACACTCATCCAAACATGCACAACCCCACACACATACATGCCAGCAGAACCTGCCGTCACCCTGACACACACACGCCAGCACAAGCATATAGCCTGACACGTGTATTCAGTCACTGTCACGCCAACAATCATATGAGCGCACACAGCCAGACTGTCCCCACCACAGACTCACACTCACACCACCTGTCTACACACACAGTCACACACATCCACACTCTTTCACACGCAGCTCCCTCCACACTCACACCTCTCCTCCTACCCTCTCCATCTCACAGTTACCTTAACCCCCATCTTCTCTCCAGTCAAAACACATGCACACACACAACAGACACGTACAACACAGGTAAACACATAGAAATGCTCAAAAACACACAGCTACACTTACAAAGACACACAGAAATGCTCAAACACACACAAATACACTTATACACAGACACATGAAATTGCTCAAATACATATATGCTTACATTCCAGTGTTAAGAAAATCTAGTATACCCCCTACACACGAAACTCCCCTCCCTGTTGTACAAATTTTCTCACTTTTACTTTCACCCTCTCCTGTCTCTCTCCTCTCTCTTCCTCTCCAATTCACCTTGTTCCCACTGACCCTGCTGAGGATGGGGCCCAGTGCTCCTTCCCCCATTTCCACCCCAGGCACCCCATTCCTGGGAAGACAATGGCGCCTCACTCTTTCTCTGCCCTCACCTCAGCAGGTTTCTGTGCCCACGCCTCCTCAGCCCCAGAGCCTGGCCTTCCCTGGCTGGGGAGCAAGCACAGAGAGGGTGCTGGGCAGCGTGGCACAGCCCAGCAGAGAAGGGCAGCTCACCTGCTTGCATTTGTCCTCGGCGGCTTTCTTATCTGCCTCTGCCTGCTCTGCCCGGTCGATGGCATTCTCCTTGTCCAGCTTCAGCATCTGCATCTTTTTCTTGATGGCCTCCATGTCTGGGCGCTGGGGTGGGGGTCAAGGGCTCAGGGGGTGGCTGCGCTGGGGGCTGTGGCTTCTGCGAGGCTGAGTGAATCTCGGAGTGTGGAGGACAGGCCCTTATAGCCTTCCAGGGTGCACCCGCCCTGTTGCTGGGTGAGTCTTGGAGGAGGCCCAAGCCCAGGCCGCCGGGCCAGCCGCCACTCGCTTGCTCAGGAGGATTTGGCCAGCTCACCGGCTCCCCACAGCCCTCGCCTTATTTGGGCCTAGGGTTTTCTTAAAGGGAGGGAAAAAAAAAAGCCTGTACCATTTCCATTTTTAACCTGGTGACACAGGTCCTGTGTGGGCATGAGGTCATAGCACAGGTGCAGAGGGAACTGCAGCAGCAGAGCTTGGGGGGGGCACTCTAGGTGGCCTCAGTTTCCCCATCTGTCATTGGAAAGACTGAAGAGAAGCTGTGGGTGGATGCAGAGTCTGGGCCCTGTGAAGTGGGAAGACTCCTATCCTCCTTCCTCCTCCCCTCTATGGGTCAGTCTTCTGTCCCAAGTTCTGCCACCGCGCCAGGGAGCCTTCCAGGATTACCGCCACCTATTTCTGCTGAGTCTCATTCTCAGCATCTTCTCACTCTGTCTCTCTTTCCATGACTGTCTCTGTGTCTCTCTCCACCTCTTTTCCTTCTTTTTTTTTTTTTTTTGAGACAGAGTCTCACTTGGTCACCCTTGGTAGAGTGCTGTGGTGTCATAGCTCATAGCAACCTCAAATTCCTGGGCTCAAGCAATTGTCTTGCCTCAGCCTACCAAGTAGCTGGGACTATAGGCACCTGCCACAATGCCAGGGAATTTTTAGAGATGAGGTCTCACTCTAGCTTAGGCTGGTCTCGAACCTGTGAGCTCAGGCAGCCAACCCGCTTCAGCCTCCCAGAGTGCTGGGATTACAGGCATGAGCCACTGCACCCAGCCCAACTCTTTTTCTATCTCTCTTGGCCTCTGTCTCTCCTGCCCCCATGCCCCCCACCCCAATTCTATCACATCCAGCTTACATTCAATCAATTACTCTGGGTTATGTCTCTGAACTCATAGAGACCCCTGCTGCCCTCCTCAGATCCCATGCTCTCCTTCCCTCCCTGCTCAGAACCTGGCTATGGCTCCTCAGTACTCACGAGAACAAGAGATGGCCTTAGCTCTTCAACTCCCCATGTAGACCACACAGACTCCTCTTTCCACCTCTCCCCACACAGGACCCCTCTTTTCCCACCTTCAGGCCTTTGCTTGTGGAGTCCCCTTGGCTTGTGATGCCATCCCTCTCTTCCACCAGCAATGTGGAGCAGGATTTGCTAACTTCAGAAAGTTTCATTCATTCATTCATTCACTCATTTGACTGAAGTGGGATTCCTCTCACGTGCTGTGCCCTGGCAGTGCACACTCAGAATGCAGGAGCTATTACTACTATTGTTATTATTCAAGCGTCATTTTTGGCCTATGAACTGCTTCTGAGCAGGCCTATGCTACAGTCTTGTCTATGGCCACCAGAAAATGAGGAAATGCATATTAATAAAATGAGCATTTTCCCCTATGTATTCACATACATACATACATACATACATTCACATACATACATACACACAAATATACACACACGTGTGCTTCTCTGCCTATGAAACTTATATTCATGCTTCAAGTCCCAGATCAGATGTCACCTCCTCCAGGAAGCCTTCCCGATTCTCAAACACTAACCTGGATCAAGCAGTAAGACTTCTAGGTGTGATGGAGTGTAGGTAGGGAGGCCTTGTTATTTTCTGCCCAAGGCCTCAGGGGAACAGGATGAAGAGTGAAACTCTGGGGAGCATAGGGGTCAGGCCAGGATAATGAGCTGCTAGCCTTGGCCCCAGCTGCTTCACCATCCCTTAAGCCAGCTTCCTGCTCTTTGTCATGGTGAGGACTTCACCCCTGTGCTGGGGAGAGTGGGCAAATTGGTAGCAATAGAACATTCTAGAATCTCTTTCATTCAGTAAGGACATTGGCTTTTCCCCATGTTCAGCAGTTGAGGGGCCTCTTCGCAGACTCCTCCCAACTCCATTCTCCATCCTTCTCTCTTATCTCATCCTTCCTCATGTCCTGGCTGTGCAGACTCCATTTCCTCTAGTGATATAAGCAGAACATAGTACGGTTGCATCCTGGAGAATGTCAATGCTGATTGAGAGACACGCAATAGGTGATGAAAACCTCATCAACTAAGCTCATAACTTGCAACATGTCACTTTGGTCTCCCTGTGCCCTAAGAGGTTGGGGACTGAGTTTATTCCTATTTTACCCAGGAGGAAGCTGAGGTTCGTTTTCAAGGTCATGTGGTTTGCCCAAGGCCATCCAGCCAGGCAAAGTGGCTCAAACTCAGTTTCCTTTGTCTTTGCAACAAACCCTAGAAATGAGCTACAGTTATTATCCCTTGTCCATGTTATAGATGGGGAAACTGAGGCCCAGAGTGGCTCTCCACAGCCACCCAGCTTGTGAGTGACCCAACTGACTCTAGAACAGAGCTGGTGAGAGTCCTAAGGCCCCCCTCTCCACTATGCCTTCATCAGTTTCACTGCCTCGGGCTGACGTCAACAGAGGTCAGCTTGTCTACCCCTCCTGTCCCCAGAGACCCTAAAACCAGCCTCACCACAGGTGCTGTGGCTAATTCCAGACCTGACACCGCCACTTCTGGAAAGGGATCCCTCCCGCAGGAGATGTTCACTTGCCCCGTGGCCTTGTAAGGCAGACCCTTGTCCCTGGCACAGTCTTTTGCTCAGGGATCTCCTGAGGTGGAATCTTATGCCAAGGAGGGGAAAAGGTGGTTAGGGACAGCATTAGGCCGGCTGCATGCCTCCATCAGGGTCTTTTGCCCCTCCCCATTTTACAGCCTTAGAAATGGACTTATAACTTCCCTGTGCCTTTGCCCCCAGGTCACCTTAGGAGTCCTGGTCAGGGCTTGGAGGGTCATTTTGGGTTCCTGGCCCCTGGGGGGCCCTGGCCGGGCACTCTGGGCTGTGTGGCATGGGACATGGGGCAGACAGAGGCTGCCATTTATAGCTTGGAAGGAATGAACTTCCTTCATGCCCTTCAGCTTTCCCACTGGGGCTTTAGTAGGGGGTAGGGGAGACAGGAGTCTCTGGCACCATTCCAGTCACCTCAGTTGTGGGGCTCAGGGTCATTTATCAAACATCTACTATATGCCAGACACTGTGAGTTCTAGGGACCCTGTGTTGGACATGACTCAGCCCAGTGGGGCAAGACAACCCATGTGATATTATGGTGTGTATATATAGTCTAGTATATATATAGTACGTGTGTGTGTATATATATATCAGTTTTCATCCACAGTTCCTGGCTCATAACTCCCATGGCCCTTGTTACAGTCTTCTATCATAATTTTGTGGTGCTTTTAGCCTTAGAAACAGCCTCAGGAGACAGAATGTCTCTCTGACCTTCACTTGTCCAAGGCAGGACTATAATCTGACCTAAGACCCTCATTCCTGAGAGAGTCCTGTTCTATACCCTGGAGGAAGGAATGCTGCCCAGGAAGGCCAGGAAGAATCTGAACAGACAGGACTTGCTGGGTTGAGATCATTCTTTTTTTGTCCAATCACATTTCTACATGGTTGTCAATCATGCCTATGTAATGAAGCCTCTGTAAAAACCCAAGAGGACATGGTTTGGAGCTTCGGGAGAGCTGAGCTCATGGAGGCTGGTAGAAAGGTGATAAAGGATACAACTCCACAGGGGGCAGTCGCTCTTGTAGATGGGATCCTTACAGCCTCCCAGATTTCATCCTCTGTGTATCTTCATTTGGCTGTTAATTTGTATCTTTTATAATCAACTAGCAAACATAAGTGTTTCCCCAGTTCTGTGAGCTGCTCTAGCAAATTAATTGAACTTAAAGAGGGGGTTGTGGGAACCCCAACTTGAAGCCAGTTGGTCAGAAGTTCTGGAGGTATAGACTTGCCACTGGGGTCCAAAGCAGGGGACAGTTTTGGGGGCTAAGCCCTCACCCTGTAGTATCTGATGTTATCTCTTGGTAGACAGCGTGGGAACTGACTTGAAGGACACCCAGCTTGTGTCTGCTGATTTCTTGCTTGCTGGTGGGGAGAAATCTCCACATGTTTTGGGGTCACAGAAGTCTTCTGCATGGGTGTGGTGTGAGAGTAGAGGGAAATCATGGTTTGAGTTTTTCCTAAACAACCAATAACTCAAATTATGGAATTAATTACAATACAGGAAGTGGCTCTCTTAATTTGGGCACCCTTACAAGTAGACCCTGATACAATAATTTGAGGGAAAGCTGTTTATTTGGGAGGTTACCCAAGGAGACACAAAAAGGGTGGGGCAGTGAAACAAGGAAGAGAAAGTGGCCAGTGAAGGGTGTGTGAAGCCAGTTGCCTCTTGGACAAATAGGATGCAGTCCCACTGGGACCTCTTGGCGGCAGCAGAGAGCACATTCTTTGGAGTCTCACCTGAGAGGGGAGAGAGGGGATATTTATCCACCAGTTCTACACCTTCATTCCTCAAAGGCTGCTCTTGTGGGGGGGTGTTGATTTCCTGACACTGCTGTCTGCCTTTATAGGCTATGTCAGCTAGAGAAAGCCCCTCTCTCTCCCCAGTAGAGAGATGCAGGTGCTGGAAGAAGGTGCACAGCCCAACACCTGGGAGGGCATCAAGAATGTGGGTTAAAAATGCAAGTAAAATGTATAATTTTAGCACCTGATTAGTCCTGAGTGGAAAATCTGGGAAGGCTTCCTTGGCAGGTGACAATTGAAGTGAAGTCTGAATTGGGGTGGTGGTGGGGCTTATGCAACGGTCCTAAGTAGAAGGGACCCAGAGCAGGAGAATGTCCGTCCACCTAGAGTATAGAGGTGGGGGTGGAGTGAGTGTTGTGGGTGACAAGGCCGCAGGAATCAAACAACAGAGGAGGGAGTACTATGATCCCTCCCCCACCCCCACTGCCACCAAGGTGTCTTCTGCAGTCTGAGGCATGCAGAGAGA